TGGAGTAAAATTATTTAGTGCTAATGATAAGACACAAGTAACGCTCATCTAGAGATTCGCTGACCCTTTTCTGAAAAGACTTAGTTGGCTTCTCCACTCAGGTACGTCCGCCACTTGACTGTATGTATCTACGTCGCTCACAATGCAAGATGATTATGAGCATACTTCCATCATACATCCCCAGTTATTTTAACCATCTAGCTATTCTTTACTTTTGCTGTTATCAAAATTACGTATTAGCTCATCCAATTCTACTTTTATCGATGAAGAATTAATTCTAAAGGACAAATGTCATCAATGACCTCACTTCGTTTCACTACAAAAACACTCCGTCTTCTTCTTGTTTTTTCACTTTTCAAAATTGTCATTTTTTGTTCACACTTTTTATCTTTGTTCAAAACAGACGAAGGAGAATTAATTCCTTCTCTCTTACATTTTATTCTATTTTTCTTTCACTTGCCTCTACCTATATATATATAGTGTCTGTTTTCTAGTTTCGCTCATACTTGAAGAAGGCAACTAGCCGAAACGCGTCGTGTCTTATCTCTCATTTTTATTTTTCGTAGTTTACTTGTTCGTCAATTTTCTTACTTTTATCATTAAAATATCAATACCCTACTAAAGCTATCAATTCAAATCAAATCAATTCAATTATATATGTACGTCCGCACACTGCCACTAGACTATATGTATGCACGTCCGTCACGATGCCACTAGACTATATGTATATACCTCCGTCACACTGCCACATGACTATATGTAAGTACGTCCGTCACACTCCCACGCGATCATGTGTATCTACGTCCGTGACACTCCCTCTTGACTATATGTATGTACGTCCGTCACACTGCCGCATGACGATATGTATGTGCGTCCATCAGACTGCCAGATGACTATGTGTTTGTACGCCGGTCACACTGCTACATGACTATATGTATGTACTAGCAGAAGTTATTTTCACAGCGGTTTCAATAAAGTTATTTTCTTTCGACGTTTCGAGTTCACATGAACTCATTTTCAAGATTTGAAAACAAAATTGTTAAAAACGATTACAAAGCTAAAATACAAAATTTTGTGGCATATATTTATTGTTGCTATGGAATGTCTGTTGCGTCCGTCGCACTTCCACGTGATTATATTTATGTACGTCCGTCGCACTCCCACGCGATTATATGTATGTACGTCCGTCACGCTGCCGCATGACTGTGGACTGCATGGATAGTAATTATTTACCTAAGTGTTCAGGTAATGCTGCAAAATATTTGATAAATGCTGTTGGTACTCTGGCAAATTTCATTGCTGAGACAAATGAATGTTCAGTACACGTTCTAAAAGCAAACGGCATTATTATTAAAATTGGTGGAGTAAAATTATTTAGTGCTAATGATAAGACACAAGTAACGCTCATCTAGAGATTCGCTGACCCTTTTCTGAAAAGACTTAGTTGGCTTCTCCACTCAGGTACGTCCGCCACTTGACTGTATGTA